GATGTCCCCGAAATCAGCAAGACATATTCTTCCTGTTCACCGTCTCTTCGGGATGGTTTAGGTCCGATTGGACCCCCCAGTGGCAAACGTACTGGCTGCAGTCTCAGAGCATCGAGACTCCACATCCGTACTGTGGAGACATTGGCTCCTCTTCCAGGATGCATTCTTGTGTATTGATATCACTGATGGTAAAACTGCTTTGAATATCACAAATTTTTAACTGACAGCTGTGGGCAAAAGGAAGTTTTGATATGTATTTCATAGAAAGGCATTTTACTTTCAATAATAACACATTTTCAAATGTGATTTTCTCAAACAATTATTAAGTCCTATACATAAAATACTTCAGTGAAGATATATTAAAAGAATAAGTACACTTCTATTGCAAAACATCTACCTTATACATAAACAAATGTTATAGTCTTAATATTTTTGGGGTAACACTGACCAATAAGTTTAGAAAAAAAATGAGGTGGCCCAAGTAATTTGATACACATTTGTATTTGCACATACTGTATTCCTTTTTACAAACTTTAAATGAGGTTTAATGTCACATAATTTCTGCATGGAAACACATAAAAGTTAATTAGTTAAATCATATAATTTTTTAATCCTTATTTTGCAAGTTTGGAGCTGTTATGGGAACAAAAATTGACTTGAATTTATGAACAATATCTGGTGAAAGTTTTAAAGAAGAGCGCAGTTCCTATGTATCATCATCCCATTCAAGAGCAGAATGTATAAAACAAAAAGGCAAGCAGAAACTACTTTTTGATAGGCCTTCCTAAACATTTTCTCAGCATTTTGGTACAGAGTATTATACCAATTTAAAGTGAAACTCCACAGAGTAATCAACCAGTAACCAAAATAATAAAAAAATAAATTTCAAAAATGTCTAAAACATTAAAATAGTTCACTTACAGAGGAATTATGAATACCAAAGATATCACGCACATCTCTGATTGTGTGTTTATTTTTCTTTCTCATGGTCTGAGAATATGTGGTATATCTCTTTTGCACTGCAGCTGCTTGAGTTCGGGTCAATGTTGATAGCAATGCTTCTCCATTGTCTTCTTCAGATTCTGATATTAATGTAGACAGGCCAACATCTTGCAACCATTCAGCTTCTAGTTCACCTTCTATAGAGGAGCAGATATTATAGGAAGTAAGCTGGATTAGTCAATGGTAGCAAAATATAAAGGAGTGTGGTCACATCTTTTTTGACTAACAAATTTTGTTAAAAGGCATATTTTTAATTAATTGATAAGATACTTCTAATCTGTTTCACATGTAACCTGTATCTGCATGACCAACTTGTTAATACTCTGTACCCCTCATTTCCCCGTAGTTTAAATCAGTGTTTCCCAACCTTGGCAACTTGAAGATGTCCGGACTTCAACTCCCAGAATTCCCCAGCCAGCATTCGCTAGCTGGGGAATTCTGGGAGTTGAAGTCCGGACATCTTCAGATTGCCAAGGTTGGGAAACACTGGTTTAAATCTTCTATCAGTCTAGCGATTCTAAGAATTTGATGAAGTGAGGTCCAGTTTCACTGGATCTCCCTTCATCATATCTTTTAATCTATTAGTCCAAAAAGATAAATCCAGAGTCAGATTAGCATTAGGAACATGATGAAAGGACAAGAAGATTGTCACCACAAAATTCCTTCCTCGTCTGATCATCTGATTCTAAAATTTTGATAGGGAGAGAACCAGCAAGAGCTACAACAAAATACTGTGATGTAAACCGATGTTATTCAAGTCCAACAAACATGACCCTTTCAACACTATTTTAGTATTTTTTTTTCATTCTTCTTTCCTCACCTGATCTAATTGCTAAGCAGTGTGACATAACCACCAATCATGCTCACACCTCTGTAGGGCTACGCTCTAAGTGATTACAATTTCTTTTAATAAGAATCTTTGTTAAAATATGCTTCTGAAAACAGCTTTATATGAGCAGGCAGGCACAGAATCTGTAGAACAATGCAGTTTAGTAGAAATATTTTGGAAAACTTGAAAGAACAAATTGGGAAAAGAGAGTGGGGAAGGGAGGACATATTTTTGAGATGTCTAAATACAAAATGCTTTGCTATTGGGAATAAATCAGGGAAACCTTTCTGCACAATCATACTGATCTAAGGCAAAATATATCAGTCTATATCCTTGAAACAGGCTTATATGTCATCTTGCAGACATGTTCTTTCATCTTTTCAAAATAATTGGCTGAAAATACTGGTATTTGACATTCTAGGGTCAAGAGTTTCACAGTGATCTAATTTTGAAGAGGAAAATATGATTTGGAGTATGAAGGGGCACACACAGAGCTTCTGTTTGTAACTCCTTAAAACAAAGAGTCTGAGGCCCCAACTTCTTGGTCTTTGGAAGGTTGTCAACGCCTGGTCCCCAAGTGTTAGGAATGAGATGTTAGGAGACTACAATATATGTGACTCTATCTTGTGAATTTGTTTCTTTTTATTATATTTAACTATGTTTGGTTGCAGAGCCCTTTTTACATATTGGATTATTGCAATGTGCTTTACATGAGGCTGCTCTTTAAGACCATCCAAAAGTCTAGAATGTAGTGGCATTTGCAGCTCTGGCACTTTGTGGTTGGCCATGCTAATGTTGCACCATTATTGAATGAGCTGAAATGGCATCAACTTTCATGAGCTAAAAATCACTTCATCAAATGAAATGAAATTTAATATTTTGTGGAGAACTTTATGTCTTCTGAGACAGGGTTTCCAGAAAGAGAATGACCGTACATAGGTAATAGAGAAATAGTATTAGTGAAGAGCTACTATACTGGCGCAATGCCACAATTACAGCTTCCAGGTAGATGCCAAGGCAGCCCACATAGAGCATGCTGTAGTTATTACTACAAAAAATGACAAGGGCTGAGTTGGGAGTATATGTTGTATTCAGGTGGGGAAGAAAACAAAACAATGAGCGACCCAAGGCAAAGACACTTATTTTATTTATTTATTGAATTTATTTGATGCCTATCTTGTAGTGAAGGACTTTGGGTGGCTTCCAGCCTTAAAATCCTAACAAATAAATATCTTTAAAAGAATAAAAGTAGAAATAATGGGAACGTAAGGAAAACTTCAGAAACTATTTTGATGTTTAGACCCAATCTTGAATAAAAAAGAGGCAGAAAATTAAATTGCTACTTGATGCTGCAGTATAAATATGGTTTTACTTTCGATTAGCTCTGGAAGAATGCTGCCTCATGATTTTATCAACACAATTTTAATAAAGCTGTATAACTGATTCATTAACTTTGTCCCCCAAGGCTCAAGAAACTTTATGCTTGGAAGACACAACTGGGACTATAATTCATTTCCATGATTCCAAGGCAATATTTAGCCTCTAGGTCTTCATACAGATCTTTTCTCTCCCCCACACTTTCCCCACTTATTAAATAAATGAAGATGCTCTGGGTTTTTTCTTTAATAAATGCTAGATGCAATCCATTCAGAGCAAAGGGCTTCAAGGCTGTAGCATTATCCTACTTGTCAAGAAATAAGCATTTTGAGAACTGTTTAGAGACTGTAGGGAAAAAAAATCTTTGTAGAAGAATTAAAAACGTGCTCGTCTTCAGAGTACTTCTTCTATTTAAAATCAATGAGACCTAAAGAGTGTTAACTGAATTGTGAATAAAATTTTGAAGATATAAGCCTTTAGCACAAAGGAAAAATAATGAATCTCTGTTTATTTGCTGTTTTTATCACTCCAGCTGAGGCCTAGCAACTTGAAATGTGCTCAACAGGGCACATTTTTTAAAGTATTTATCCATTCCCTTCATGGAAACAAACTTTATATCAATCTCTTGCTATGAAAAAGCAAATATCTTTGAATAATATTGTCCTAAATAGGGCGTGTGATGAGTCAGCAGTTAAAGATACTGAGCTTGTCAGTTGGAAAGATGACAATCCAGGTTTAAGACCCAAGCACTGCACGACAGTTGGCTGTCCTGTATTAACTCTGATTATTCTATGATGTACTCACACATTCAAACTTAAATCCCCAACCTTTTGGGCACCTGGGACCGATTCTGTGGAGAGATTTTTCTTCAGACCAGATGGCATGGTTTCGTGTGCTGCCTGCATCCCGCGGATGGAGCTTCACTTGTTTGCACAGCCCAGTTTCTGGTATGCTGTGGAATGGTGCCAGTCCACGGACAAGGATTAGGGACCCCTGACTTAAATGAATTAATTAAATCAGGGACCAATGTTTCACACTGATACACTGTACGTTGAATGATTATTTAATGCAATAAAATGAAAAAAGGAACAAACTTTGGGTAGATGTTTATCCATACTTTCTATATATTCAAAAGGACACAAATACCATTTCCAAAAATTGTGGCTGGTAAAAATCATACCACGAACTTCTGTATTTGATTCTTTTTTGGTATAATTTCTGTTGAAGGCTTTTACAGGAACTACTAGTCAATTAATCATGGAATCCATCTTGCAGTAATACTTATTTTTATCCTTTAAATGTTATCCAGAAATTCGTCTTCACCCTCAGTTTTCTTATACACTTCAATGTTTTTCATGCAAAACTTCATTCTAAAATTAGTAGAATTTAAAACCTTAGAAATATTATTATCCAATATAGCTATGCAATGCTTCTGATTCAGTTCTCAAACATAAATGAGCATTTATTACACCAGCACATTTTTGGAATAAAAACAAGGATCAAGGAAGATCAGAAATGTTTATTCATACCATC